ATTTATAATCACTAGTGTATATAGCACCTTGTCTAGATTTGTTAGAAGAGGGTTAATTATTTTTTTTTGATAGAATTGTCTGGTTTTTTCATCACACCCTGTACAATAAACAGTAATATTTAGAATATAATTGTTTTTAGATAGATTAGGATTCCTGTTGGAGAACAGTCATAATTTGGTTTTGAAGTAGAAGTGGCCTGCTGGAACGACAGTCAGAAGAATTCTTCTTGTATTTGTGTATATAGTATCTTGTTTAGACTTGTAAGCATAATTAAAGAGGGGTTAGAGATTTTTGTAAATAGAACTGTCTGGTTTTTTTTCATTTCACTCTGCAGAATAGACAATAGCATTTAGAAGATATAGTAATCTGGTATAGACACAACACTCTTAAATTATATACTATTAGTATATATTATAGTAGCAACTTTAATTTTAGTAACAAGTCAGTTGGGTCGAATCAAGAATATCAATTCAACTATGGCTAGAAAATTTTTTATCAACTATCACTATTAGAGAGTAAAATATATATGACTTATATTGCTATATATGTGGGGTTGTATAAATTTGTGGCCCCTATAATTAATTTTTTATATGATTAAATGGTTGTAATTGTAATCGTGATTGCTAAAGCTAGCAAAATAAGTTATGTACAATGGAGTTTAAGTTTATTGCTGATATTAAAAATTTATAGCTTATACAATAATGATAGTATTTGATTAATAGCACATGTAAGAATAACAATAACAATATTTATCATAAAAATTTTATTTCTTTGAATATTATAATATAATATTTTCTGAAATAGAACTCATACATCTTGTCAAATTATGAACCCAAAAACTGTATTTCAAAAGAATAATAAATCATGTTTTAAGTATACAACTTGTGTAAATAAAAGCAAAAAAAAAAACAGAAATGTAAGAATCAAATTTTAAATAATATTTCACAAGCAAAAAGAAAACCACTATAAAATCTGAAGTTCTTGAATATATAGTTTATAAAAAACTTATAGATGTTAAAGGAAAAAGCAATATATATATAGATCTTGATATAGTTCCTAAACAGTTAACAAATTAAAATTTTGCATATTCATTGTTATTATATTATAGTTTAAAATTTCTAAATCTAATATATATTATATTAATTTAGATGCAATTCTCAATATTCTCTTTTTACGAAAGCTAATTTAAAATATTTGAATATCAACCTTAATCAATTCACACAAGCCAATTTAATAATTGAACTAGTAAATTCAGAAAACTGAAATATAGATAATAAAGAATCGAGTATTGAAGATAGTGAAACCAAATCTAAATTTTAAGAAAGTACAAAAAAAACACTTTATGAAGTATAAAAAAGTTTTTTTATTATATTTTCATGTTTAAGTTTTAGACGCTGAAAGTCTAATAATCTTCCCAAACAAAAAAGTGGGTTCGAAGTATTAAATCAACCTTTCAATCTATTCAAAAAAATAGTAGATTATATTAAAGATTTTGAATGAGCAAAAAAGCTTCCAAAACTTGGAGTAGATACAACAAAATACTTTTTATTAGTAGCATAAAAAGTTCAAACTTAAAAGCTTTACACATGTATTAAATAAAATTTGAATTTGGATATAAATATATTTTATTTAAATTGAGTGTATTTACTTAGGGCTTTGACATTTATTATGTAATATTTTAGGGGTGGGGTTGAGCATATATTATATTAATATCTTATATTATACAAAGAAATTATATAATTTCTAAATTGGCCAATAATATAGATCTTATGTAGGGGAGGAGGTAGCCCTTATAGTAAATGGATATTACATAATAAATGTCAGTGCTCTTAGAATTTGTAGCAATAATTAAATAAATTCTAATAAGTTGAATAAATAAAAAATAAAAAAAAACTTTAGTCATTTAAAAATCTTGTAATCTCATATTTCTATTATTCTTGTATGTAGATTGAAATTTATAAAGTAATTATATAACAGACTTTGTGGTAATACTAGGCATGTTAAAGCCAGCCAATTTATTATGAATCCGAGTTTGTATCAAGCTCAGATTTATAATAAATTGGTCAGCTTTGGCAATGTAATTGCAATCACAATTATTTAATTATATAAAAAATTAATCATAGCAGTTATATCATTTAAATAGTCAAATATTAGTAATTATTAATCTTATATGTAAATTGTTAGAAAAACCGATGCTTGCATTTCTAGTCAATTTTAAGATTTTGGATTCAAATGAAAATACTTATTCTTATTTATTTACTAGAATCTGCATGTACTTAGCTACATGAGAATTATTATATATATAGTGTTATAAAATAATAATAATATATATTTATTTTGTTATATTTATTATAGAAAAATTTGTTATATTATATCTAATACTTGAGATTCAAGTGTGCAAATTAAATTAAATTGTTTATTGTGAAATATAGTTTATAAAGAGGTTTGATTGTATATACACATATGAATCTCAGATATTGGTGATAATGATTTTTTATTTACAGTTTTTTTTCTTCAGTGTAAAAAGATAATGTATATATTAGGGTTGGAGACATGACAAATTTTTGTGGCATGCCCAAGGGGCATGCCTTTGCAAATGGCATACTCTGGACATGCCCCTATATTATAAACTATCATAATTAACATTAATAAGTTTTAGTTCTGATTGATTAATTACCAAATTGGCCAATCATATGATAGTTCCATATCACATGATGAGACACACCTTTTGGTAAAAGGAAAAGGGTATGCCCCATGGGGCATGCCTCTCAACCTTATGCCCCAGCCCTAGTATACATATATGCATAAACAATATCTTAAAACTTTAAGTGTATATATTATAAAAACATAAATGATTAAGGTACAGTGATAGTTATATAGTTAAGCAAAAAAAAAAAAAAATTAAAATTTACTTTCTAAATAAATAGCCAAAAAAGTTAAACATCGCGTAAAGCCTATCAATACTGTATAACTTTCCTTATACTATAGTATATAGCATATATGGTATACAACATATTATTATCAACAACCAATTAAATTGCAGAAGACAGGCATAAAAACTTTACGGCAATGAAAATGACTTAGAATTTGCAAATACAATTCAAACATGTCAACCATATAATGATCTAATTAGAATAAACAATTTCTTAAGAGTTCTCTAGGCTCTACAAAATAAAGTTTATTTTATAAATAATAGCCAAAAAGGTTAAACATCGCATAAAGCCTATTAATGCTGTATAACTTTCCTTATACTATAGTCTATAGTATATAGTATATGTGGTATACGTTACATTATTATCAACAGCCAATCAAAATGCAGAGGACAGACACACAACCAAATCTTAGTAGTATAGATTTATAGAGCTTTTTTTTCTATATTGATTTAATAAACTATCGAAATTTTTAGATTTAAAAAAGTTGTTCTTCAAAATTAGACATTCTAAAAATATAAGACAACCAAAGATTATCCAATAAAATTAACTGATCGAATGTGTAATATAAACTTTTTTTTTAATATCACATTTTTTTGGTTTAGTTATTAAAATCAATATACAGCCATCCTCCTCTACAGTCACTCCTACATAGTCACACCCTCTTTATAAGCACCAATTTTTGAAAAACTATTAGCAATTTATTTATTAAAAAAATCTTTATATAATCACATTACTATTAAAATTTATAATCACATTTCTTTTATATAAACAAACCGCGTGATTATAGAGGAGGACGACTGTATGTGTATAAAATATATGATTAATATATAATCACGATTAGTAATCACATCTAAAAATAAATCAGCAAATTTTAAGTACGTAGTACAAAATTTAATCGCATTTTTCTCAAAATTAAAACTACCCTTCAATCTGTGGTTTCCTAGAAAACCATATGTACAAGATAATTGTTTGGCTGGAGCGGAGGGAATCGGAGTGTAAGAACTTTCAATGCTCTACTAATTTGAATTGATGTCCGGCTCCCGCCCTTAAATAAATCATGTCCCCTGTAAAAATTCAATCAGAATTTCGATAATTAAAAATTATATAATAAATAAAATAGACTATAAAAAAATGACGATTAACATGATAACGTAATATAAATAAAGTCGACGATTACAAAGTTAATAAAAAGCTAATTAATAATTTGTTGTGTCGATGCAAAAAAAAAGAATTTATACGCCTGAACAAAAGGCTGCAAGAAATGACGCTAAAAGAAAGAGATTGGCTTCTACGACACTCGAAGAATAGTAAAGTTACCGAAACGATGAGTCAATAAAGAAAATATAAATCCAAGTGACGAACGTAATGTTTATTATAATTTCAACAAATTATAAAATGTCGACTGTTTATTAACAAATTGTTTTTTAGTTTTTTTTTTTTTTTTTGAGGATCAAAATATCTTGTCGTTACCACTTGCATGTTAGCTTTCTAATTACGATAAGGTCTTCTAAAGAATTTCACAATGCAGTTTCTGCGCTTAAATTCAACTTCTGCCCTATTTGTAAAGAGCTTTCCTACAAATACTCAAATTATCATTCTTAGAATGAAATGGGTCAGTAGTCTGTTTCTACACAAAATGTAGATGTTCTTATTTGGTTGTGGAAGCGAGTGTCATTCGCATAGTATTAAATGCAAAGATAAAGAACATGTTATAAAAAATAATTATCATATAGTGATAATACAATGTTTTTTGGCTATAAAATTACATATTTTTTTATTATCCTTAAATTTTATTTCCACTCAAGCTGTTTTGAGTTCAAAATCAACTTTAGTTGATTCGGAATCTACTTAAGTAGATTCTGAATCCAAAAAATTCCAAATCCACCTACAACGTATATAAATCACAATTTTATTAACACCATTATTACTACCGACCTTAGATCATAATGGTAATTTTTCAAGATTTATTTATATATTCATATTAACAATTAAACTTTTATACATATAATTATACAAATTACTAGTAAAATTTTCAGCTAACACACCATGAAAATTTTTTATAACTTCTAATAGCTATCATCATCATTTATGTAATCATCAGAGTTGCTTTTCTGCTCATCCGGACTTTCTGATTCAACAGCGTGATGATCATAAAAAGCTACTAAATAGGGTGAATATTTCTTAAATTTAATAAAGAATAATTTACTAAGTATGTTGGAAAGTACTGAAAGGCCTGAAGCTATTAAAGCGAATAATGGAATTATATCGTACTCGACACTAGAAAGTATATAAAATATCTAATATAATTTATATAAATATTTAGTAAATTAGGGTATAATAAATATTAAAATTTTATTTTTATTTAACATACCTGAATAATAAATTGTGGTACATCTTGTAGAAATATGTCAACGCAAGATGCCCAAAAAACCGTTATTAATGCACGTGGAGACAATGGTGAATTAAAAAGTTCAAGTTCCATCAAATATGATTTTAATATTAATATCACATCAATATTTGCACCAGATAATAATGCAAATGAAGTAGCAGTCCTTCCATAATTTGCAAACCACTTTTGGAATTCTTCTCCTCCGTAATATATTATTAAAAATGCTACGAGTAAATTGAATGCTATGGGAGCAATTAGAAATACCATGCTAATTTTTTTTTTCATTTGATAATAAAAATACAAATTTAGTATGAGATTACCTAATATCTATAAATGATAAATAAATCTTACCTCGGCAAGAAAAGATTTGGAACGGTTTTTGCATCAGTAAATGTGAATATTGTAACTGTAGCGATACGAAATATTGTAATACCAATTTGGAAAACAACAAAGTTTTGACTCTATATATTTATATATTAGAGATGCAGAGAAAAGAAATTAAAATCAATTCTAATATTTATTTTAATTCAAGAAAAATAATTACCTTTGGTGATTTTACTCTGGCGATGATAAATAATATTAAAAATAAAGCTATGCCTACAACTAACAAAACGAATTTTGTCTCATATAATTTAAAGAAATCCAATATTGACACTATTAAAAAAGAATAGATAAAATAAGTTATAGCTAAACAAATGATAATATTACAAAAAAAAAGAGCATTTACTTGACGTTTGAAATCCATAATCATTATCTAACAACTTTGTCATATTTCCAAATAATGATATGCCCGTAGAAACTTTATTAATTATTAGTAGGTTTAAATCATTTTGGATTGATGTGGCATTTTTTTTGTCACCACTTTTCATCTCATATACAATAAGCGAGATAAGAATTTGATCTGTATTGGATGGATCTTTTTGAAAAAGTCTAGTTGAATCCAATCTTCCTTGTTCTGTAGGAATTATAACTAGGAGCTCATTTATTAAAGTAATAAAAAATTCATTTCTTTCAGAATCATTTAATGCTTGAAAATAAATAGATCCGGATATTGTTAACCGTAGTTTTCCACGGATATCGCCTATTTGATTACAAGTTTTGAGTTGATATTAATTAAGTACGTGCATATAAAACCAAAAATAAATTTAAAATACATTACCAGTTCGCTTTTGACTTGGTAGTATGCTATTATCTTTTTGCATTAATCAATGAGATTCTTAATTAATAAACAAATTTAAATAATTATGATTAAAAGATTATAATAATAATATAATATATAAAAACCTGTTTGAAAATTCCATATATTTGGATCAATTCCCAGCATTGGTTCATTGTAATCAGAACTCATTACAAAGTTGTTATCAACTACTATGAAATATTGGCCACCAGGATCATTGAAGGTACATGTAAAAACTTTGAGATTGAGGACGGTATTTAAAGGAATGCATTTACTAATGGTGTCACAAGTTCTTGATATAATCCTTTGCCGGGGGATATTAGTGTTATTGATTGTCTGATAAATAGTTAAATTGCCATCCGAAAGCGAAATGCGATTATAGTATGTGATGTTGATCGTATCGGTATTTAAAGGTAGTTTACTATCGTTTATTTGAGGATATGTTGCGCTTATTTGTAAATTACCATAACCACTATCTGTAATATGTAAAATAAATATTAATATATTATTGATTATAATTTAACATCATATTTAATATTTAAATTCCCAAAATATTTTACCGATTTGTGGAGGCGGTGCAAGTAGTGGAAGATCGATTGAAAGAAGGCTCCAAGTGGTAGTAGAATCATTCAGTGCCACCAGCATTGTATTATTTTGCAATATATCAAAGGCACCATCAAAATTTGAGAGAATTGGCTGTTGTGGAAACGTCCAACTAGATATTTTATCATATTCATCGTAAAGACTAAAGCTGAAATTTATATTCAGCCCACTAAATTGTCGTGATATATAAGCATATCCTCCATGAGGTAGAGACCTAGTAATTTCTATGCTATTCGAGAATATTGAACTCAACGATATCACAGATCCGGTGGAAAGAAACCGTATTTTAATATAAAAACTATTTGTAGTTATATTAGGCGGAGCAGTGTTGTCAACTACGGTGACATTAACTGGAGTGATAACCTGTACGGCAGTAGTTGTAGTTGCGCTAGCAAGTGTAGTCGTGGTTACGTTAGAATAAGTAACGTTGACATTAGTTGGGGTAAAAATTCTTTGTTGTGCGGATAGAATGCATGTATGGCCAATGAAAACGTAATCGACAGAACAATACAAACTTATGAATGTTAGATTAGAAGTAGTCATTTCATATAAAATAGTTCTTTGGCTGGTTATTGTTTGATTATAACCTAATAATATCGCGTAGATTCCTGCTTTTGCGGTAAGTTGAGCGGATAACGGATCAGAATTTTGAGGGCTATTAGTCGTGTTAGCATATACTATTGCATATCCATTGTTTAGAGTTGCAATTACGGTAACTTGAAAGCTTGTAGTAAGGTCTACACTCGAAACTGTGTCATTCTGTAATAAAGAAAATATTCCATTGCCATTGCTGAAAAGGGAAATAAAAATGATTTGGTGTACACGTTACTTAATAAACAAATACATAAACCTCAACGTACTGTTGATATTGGGCCCATTTGAAAGAACCTGTTCCATTAACAGTTGTCGCAGATAAACGTAAGAAACCTTTTTGGGGAGTAATATTATTAACTATATATTCATTCGGAATCCAAATTGTGCCTTGGAGCAAGTAAGATTGTCCAAAATCGAGATTACTACCGTAAGAAAATATATAATTAATTGCATAATCAATTATTATTAAAAAATTTTTATATTATTAACAAACCTTATAACATTTCCATTCCAATCTAAAACCATCCCATGATCCGTATAAGTTGTATTGTCAGAGGTATTAGTTGCATGAGTATATGTTACTAAAATGTATTGGTCAAATAACGGGTAAAAGTTTATGGGATCTTTTATATTACTCGCAACAAAACAATAATTGATATCTTGTATTTCAGTAGAATTAACATAGTTTATTTCGATAACACTCCCATTTGCTTGAATAACACGAAGTAATAACCTCTGCTCATAACAATAATTATAGGTGAAGAGATTGAAGTAATTCGTCCGAGCGACACGAACAACTGTTGTACCCGAATTGTCATTATAATGCTTAATTTCTAAAATGTGAGTTTGAGCTCCGGTAAGATTATATGGACTGGAATTTTCTTGATAGGTAAGGGATGCGTTAGTTTGCCGAAGTCCTGTTGATAGAACGGCTAAAATGAAGATAGTAACAACGTTGAATATTAAATAATTCGATATCTTCATTTCTTAGTTTATCATTTAAGAATTTAAGAAAGATTCTATAGAGCTTAAATTAAGCCACAAATATTTATATGCATTAACAAATGGGTTTACAAAATTGGAAATGATCATTCGATTTTTTTTTTTTTTTTCTAGAATTCAGTAATTGTATGCCTAGTAACTTTTTAGTATAATCCATTTCATAAACTTCTAAATTTAATCAAAGTACACTACTGTATATCGATTTATTGACATTATCTGAAAAAACTATCTATATCGATATCCGCTATTTATTGACATTATCCGAAAAAACTATCTATATCGATATCCGTTATCATTAGGCTATGTTCATGTGATCTCAGTTACATTGCATATTTCCTATTGCATTTGATGTTTCCTATTATAGTGTAAAGCTTCTTATTAAATTCTTTATGTCACAGTGTCTATATTTAGCCGGATGAGATAAATCTCGAACTCCGATAGTGGCGCAGCCATCTCTTCTTTTAGTTGTTGACTAACCTATAATTCCCGATTTTCTAAAATATTTTCTTATATTGATGTAAATAACTTATTAAAAACCAGGTACGAAGTAGAAATTGAAACCGACGAGTTCGAGCGTCGTTTGAGTCACAAACTCTAGAATTTTGGGCATTGGTTGATCGAAAATTCGAACGCAACATTAAATTTATCAATTGTTTTTTTTTTGCACTAAAAATTTTTTTCAATATTTTCAATATTTATGAAATTGTCCTTATAATTAGAAGTATTTTAACGCTCATCGGAGGTGAAATTCACCAGGATGCTATATCTCAAAAACGTACTAAGTAAACAGGATAGGGTAACTCTAAATAAAAATGTTCAAGATCTAAAAACCTCATGAGAACTAAGATCAGGACCTAATCTACATTATGTTATGTAAAAACCCCTCCATCTTAAAATTGCATCCTAACCCTAAAAATTCTTAGACCGGTGAATACTAAATTAATTCTTATAATTAAATCACTATCTAATATTATCAAACCACAGTTAATTTTTAACTTTGACCGATGCTCGATTATAACCGAATTAAAAACTCAATGAAAGCTTATTTCGATGCTCAAAATTTTTGAAATAATTCATCGATTCCACGCAAATAATGTTATACTGACTGCTATACATGGGTGTCTAAATTATTTTTGAAAAATCGTATTTTCGGCAAACATTTCGGCATTGTCAAATTTTTTTATATGAAACCCTTCGAAATAACTATATTGTATGGTGTATTTCGATGAAAAGAGTTCAAAAAATTTCGGCAATAATTTCGGCAAATATGAAAATTAATTTTGGCACTATATAAGACAAATTTCGGCTGCCTAAGATGGGCAATTTAGGCACCCATGTATACTGACTGCAGATCACAAACACTTGCATATGCATGCAGGGTCCTCGAACAATTATAGTCTATATTTAGTTATTTATTTATTATATGATAGTACTATCTCGTAAACTTTATTTCATTGCCAGCGTTGTTAATTAGAAGATTGGAAGGCATTGACTTTCAATAAAGGCGCATTGAAACATGACGTAGTATGTATCATTAATTTTGATTGGTTAGAATTAAAAAGGACGTATGAAGGTCCTCAAATTAAATTCAACTAACCGCAACTCAAAAGTTGATCCAACTAAATTAATTGCCTATTCAGATCATTAATTTGAGATCACTAATTCGAGGTTATTACATTCTAGATTATTGTTTTCGGGATTATTACATTCGGGATTATTACATTCGGGATTATTATATTCGGATTATTATATTCGGAATTATTACATTCGCATTCGAGATATTTTCTTTTCAAGATTGTGATTCTTCGGGATTATGATTCGGATATTTTTTTCGAGATTTAGTTTTCGAATTAATGAACTGTCGAAAACAAGATTTTGAGCTTCGGGATATAGTACCATCGAGATTTAGTTTTTCAGGATTTCGTACCAAACTCAAATTCTAGACGGAGCTTAGGAAAAGAACAGAATCGTGACTGGTTAGTTAGTTAGCGGCAGGGATCCGTAAAAATTTTTGTATTATACGAAATCTTTATTTGCGTTATTACAAAAAATTTGTATTAAAATTTACTCAAAATTTTGTTCTGACCTTGCACGTCTTTTATGTTCATTCATTTTTCTCTTTCGGAAATTTTCAGGATCTTAATTCAGCCACTAACCGACATTATTAGCCAATCAAATTTATAGAATATCACGTGAAGTTTACCCTTAGAAATTTGTTATAATTTGCATATAATCAATCTAAATTTGCATTAATTTGTATTAATTTATATTATATACAAAATTTTACTATTACGGGTCTCGGTTAGCTGTTAGATCTTAATAACATCAGTGTTTCTGCTCTGTCATCGAACCCTGTCCATAGAAAATTTTCGTACCTAATAAATCACATGATTAATATCTTCGATACGAAATATTCGCATAGTGCTGTAGTAATATTTTTTAACAGCGGCTTAAATTAAAGATTTGTTTTCTTGCACATATTCGAATAAAAAATATATTAAGTTAGAGCTTTGATCCTTTATTCGTTGGATACTGAATTTTATAGTAAAATTCAAGCTCTATACTAGGTTAAATAAAATCATAATATTAATGCTACTTCAAATAAATTTAGAATTTATACACAAAAATGGTTATTTTGGTTATCTGAGGTGTAATGCAGAATTATAAAGTTATAAATAAAACCATTTCATAATTAAGAATTTAAAAAGTAAAACTTTTTTCTTAGTTTCACGAACATTACAAATTCTTAAAAATTTCACAGCTACGTATAACACAATAAAATTGACAAAGGAATCCTTGTATAAAATTTTATATGTCTTTATTCAGTTCCTCGGTTGGCTTATAATCATCCAAATCCTTTGATTCGAGAGTATGATGCACATATAAAGTGCTTAAATAAGGTGAATATGCTTTGAATTTAATAAAGAATAATTTGCTAAGCAAATTGGAAAGCACCGAAAGGCCTGATGCTATTAAAGAGAATATTAATAAAATATCGATTTCGACGCTATAAAGAACATAAAATATCTAAAATATTTTATATATTAGTAAAATTAAGTATATACTGTTTTAATTTTTTTATTTATTTTTATTTCAACATACCTGAATAACAAGCTGTGGAATATCTGCCAAAAGAATGTCAGTGCAAGACCCCCAAAAAATCAATTTCAATGACTTATCTGAGAATGGTGCATTGAAAAGTTCAAATTTCAATAAATACGATTTTAATACTAGTAGCACATCAATACTTGAGCTAGATAATAATGCGAATGAAGTAGCAATTCTTCCATATTTTGCAAACCATTCAATAAATTTTGTATCCTTCTCCATAAATAGTATTGAAGATGCTAAAATTAGATTGAATACTGCGGGAACTACTAAAAATATCATACTACAATAATTTTGATTATAAAAACATAAATTAATACTGTAATATAGTAATATGGGTTATCGGACATTTATTAGAATGCAATACAAACATACCTTGGTATGTATAGATTTTGGATACCTTTAGCATCAGTAAAAACAAATGCTGTAAGGGTGCCAATACGAAATAAAGCAATACAAAGTTGGAAAATTGCGAAATTTTCACTCTATATTTTTGTATTTTTTATGTTAGGTATTAAGAAATCAATCGAAAAAATAAATAAATAGGTGTATTCTACTTGAAAAAAATCTTTACCTCTGGTGACTTAAACCTGGCTATTATGAACAATAATAAAAATAGAAATACAGCTACAAATAATAGAATAATCTTTGTCTTATGTAAATCAAAGAACTCTGCTGCTGACGCTATTAAAAATAGATAAAAAATGAATAAATTATAAATAAATCATAAAAATGCACAATATTGTTTTTACCATTTGGCTTATATCCATAAGTTTCATCTAAATAATTTGTGGTAGGCCCCCTTGATATGTTTGTGTATATTTTATTTGATATCAATAGATCTAAATCATCTCTCATCGCTGTAGCATTCTTTTTATCACCACTTTTTGCTGCAATAATGGAAAGCGAAATAAGAATTTTCGGTTCGATAGAAGATGTATCAAATTGACTATGCTCATTTGATTTCAATCTTCTTTCCTTTGTCGGAATTATCATTACGAGTTCATTTATTAAATTAGTGAAAAAATCATGTCGTTCTGAGCTATTCAATCCTTGAAAATATTGAGTTCCATTGGTTGTTAATCGTAGACTTCCCAGGATATTACCTAATTTAATCATAAATTTAGAAAAAATAATTATATACTGATACGTAAGCTTATTTATAGATAAGCTTAAGACACATTTACTGACTGTCAACCGGTTTAATTAGTAGAGTTCTATTATCTATTTATATAGGTTAACGAAATTCGATTGTTATTAAAACAGTTTTAAATAATTACCAATTTAAAATAATTAAATAATAAAATATAAACCTGTTTGAAAAGTCCACATATTTGAACCAATTCCCGGTATAGGTTCACCATATTCACTACTTTTTACAAAATTATTATCCATTTTTATATAATATTGACCACCTGGATCATTAAAAGTACACCTAAGCACATCAAGTGTAATAACATTGCCTGAAGCAGTACATTTTTTACAAGTTCTTGAATTAATTGATTGTCGAAGAATATCAGTTTTGTTAATTATCTGATGGATGGTTAAATTGGCATCCGTAAACGAGAATGAGATGCGATCATTAAACATGATACTAATCCCTTCGGTATTCAATGAAAGATTATTGAAGCCTTTTTGAGGATATGTTGAGTTTACATGTAAATTACCATAACCGCTATCTATATGATATAATGTTAATCATTATATATTTAATTAAATAGCTTTAATTTTCATTTCACTACTTAAAAATGAAAATATTTTACCGATATATGGAGCAAGTTTAGGCAGATCGATTGAAAGAAGACGCCAAGAAGAAGTTGTCTCATTTAGTGCTACTATCATCGTATTATTTTGTAATATGTCAAATGCGCCAACTAAATTTGCAGTAATAGGTTTTATTGGAAAGTTATAATTGAACAGGTTATTATCTTCATCATAAAGATCAAAAGTGAAATTTATAACTTGTAAATAATATGTTCGTGACGTTAATGCATATCCACCAAGAGGCAATGTTCTGATATTTGATACGCTGTTTAACGATATATTAAATACTGGATCCAATTTTAGTACAGATCCGGCGGAAAGAAAACGTGTCGATATATAAAATGGAGTAGTTGTTACTACAGTGGTAGTAACCGGTACGGCTGCGGTCGTAGTCGGAGTTATAATTATTATAGTACTATTAGTTGACCTTCCAGCTAAAACACATGTGTGTCCAATGTAAACATAATCAACAGAGCAGTATAAATAGCTGAATGTTATATCAATATTAGGAGTAGGCATCTCGTGTAGAATAATGGGTTTGCCTGTATTTGTTTGATTATAATCCAATATTATGGCATATAACCCTGCACTCGCAATAAATTGATCAGATAACGTATTAGAGGTTGCATTCCTTCTGGTTGTATTAGCATGCACAATTGCATAACCACCACTTATGGTAGCAAGTACGGTAACTTGAAAGCTGGTAAAATCTATACTATGGACTCTATCACTTTGTAATAAACTGAAACTTCCATTGCCATTACTAAAAAAAAACAAAAATCTAAATATTTGTGCTATGTATGTAATTAATAAATACAATAACATAACGTACTATGCATATTGACTCCATTCAAAATCACTTGTCCCGTTAACCGCAGATAGACGCAAAAATCCCCTTTTAGGGAAGATATTATTTACTATAAATTCATTTGGAATCCATGCATTGGTGCCTGGGGCTAAGTATGATGGTCCAAAATCGATTTTACTTCCATATAATAACGTATTATCAATAGGTACTACTTAAATATCTTAAATATAGAGTTTGAATGCTTATATTACAATTTAAACAAACCTTATAATTCTCCCATTCCAATCTAAAACCATTCCCCTATCCATAAAAGTTGTATTATCAGAGGTATCAGTTGCATGAGCGTATGACACCAGAATGTATTTGTCAAACAATGGGTATATGCTTATAGGACTTTTAGCATTAACATAGCAATAATTAATATCTTGTATTTCTTCAATGTTATCGAAATTTATTTCAATGACACTTCCATTTGCTTGAATAACACGAAGTAATAGCCTCTGCTCATAACAATAATTATTAGTGAAGTAATTGAAGTAATTCATTCGACTGATGCGAATAACTGCCGTATCCGCACTGTCTTGATAATGTGTAATAAATAAGACAAAAGGTTGTTCTCCAGTAAGGTTAGGCTGTCTAGACGTTTCTGTGTAGGTAAGTTCTGAATATTTTACGGTATTTTGCGTAAGTCCCGTTGGTAAAAGGGCAAACAGGAAAATGGCAATAAATGTAAATGTTCCATTGTATAACAGGATCTTCATTTCTTTAAATTTTGTCGTTCAGGAGATAAAAGAATAATATGATACGTTGAGCTAAAAGACTTAGATCTAATAAATAAAATCATCGAAGGATCAATTATACATTCTTTATCTTTAGAAATCCATTATTATTTAAGTTTTTTCTTTCTTACCTTATTACTATCATTGTAATTATTTTTCTTTAGATAATACTAATTTATTAAATCATAGCATAAATTCAATTTAGCACATGGAAACTTGATAAGGGCTGATTATCGTTATTATAACCAGAGGTGCTGGTAAAATATCATTTAACTATAATTACTACAACTCACTAGTTAATTTAACCAGCATCTCTAATATGGTTTATAGTAATCAAAATTTCAATCGTTATAATAATATTTCCTTTTTGAATTGTGATAATCTGCGAGGAGGGAAATTACCTTACTAAAATAACGTGATTGTTATCTATTATATTTAAAAAGCTTAAAAATGGCGTGTAAGAGGCGAAAGGTAAAATACTACATAAGGGAAATTGTATGCAAAACGAAAGATTTTCTTTCAATAAAAGGCAGACTTCAACCTTGTTTCTAAATAATTGGACGTTTAGAGTCGCAGTCTTGATCAGACATTTTTATTATTTTAATATATGACAAGAATGTATGATCTACTAAAGAGTTAAGCAAATATTTACAACCAATTGGATAGTATATGCTGAGAAGAGTAAGATGTGAGCACAGCCATAATTTTTTCTTCTCGATCGTCTCTGGGGCTTGCACTTCTAAATTTGTATAATGCACGAATTATTATCTAATTTTGCATATTATCTCTCTTTTGCGTAGTATATATGGTAAAACAATGCGCTGCTACGTAGAATCATTACCATAAATTATTAGTCCGTAAATATTAAGAGCATAGTATACTGAAGAGTCAAAGACGATGGTGCGGGTAAAGTAAGAGTGTGAGCGCACAGCCCTAAATCTTCTCGTATTGAGACTTGTGGATATAGCTTTTGATTTAATAACACACAAGTTATTTCTTTAAATTGCTCCCGCATAAAGTTGCTACTTAAGCCCTCAAAGTTACATCTGACTGAAATTAAGCCTCTAAATAAGATCATGCATACGTGCATTAAGTAATGGTTTCAGCAGGTTTGAAATCGCAATATAAGTATCAATAGTAATAGCATAGCAAACTTCGTTTGCGATTTACAGCCACCCTTGATGATTTTTTACAGGGGATCCACAAATTTCTGGGTCGTAATGGCCGGAATGCGTCGGGGTTAGCGTTAGGGTTAGTAGGAGCTATAGAAAAATTATCAGCTGGGCATTTATTGCTTAATGACGACTATTGTTTCAATAGTAAAATTCTCAATTCCGGCTCGTCCGACCAGGTTTCCGATGCATCTGACCCGGAATTTGGGGATTGTGAGCCCCGAAATCTGACCTAACTACTGCGGCCAAAGTATGACCCAGGATCACGGGGTCAAGTGCAATTTATCGCATTTATTCAATT